CCTCATCTGTGAAATGGGCACCGTAACAGAACCAACCTCACAGCCTAAAGGAGATGCTGCAGGTTGAGGCCTTAGAACAGGGACTGGCACATGGCCAAGGTTCGATTCCTGTCCAGCATCACTACCGTGTGGACCAAAGTGACTGGTCAGCACGTGCTGATGCTGGCCGTGTTACCTCTTTGGAGGAGATGTCTAGATTCCCATTCTGCAGGAGCTCCGTGGCCAGAGCCACGGTCAGAAGACCTTCAGCAGCTGGCGCTGGGAGGAGGGGCCGCTGAGCATTTAAAGGTGGTGGCAGCTTGGAACATCAAGGAGAGATTCTTAGGTAAGGACACACACTGTGCCCGCACCTGACATCCTTTTAGAAGTGGGCTGTCCTTCAACGAACTGTATCATCCTCTAAAGACTGTTCCCCCAAAGCACCGGGGGGTGGTGGCTGCTGCACCCCAGGCCGTGCTCCATTTGCCGGGTGCACATATTCCGTGCTCACCTTTTCACACGCTCCACTTCAACAATTCTTCCGGAAATCCCTCGGACACCGCTGTGGCGACTGTCCCCATTTTACAGCTGAGGACACTGAGGCACAAGGAGGCTGCGTGCCTTCCTCACACAAAAACAGTTATGAGCAAATCAGGATTTGCACATGCTGGAATTTTCTGCCCAGCTCTTTGTATCACACTGCTACACTCGGGGGGCTCCCAGGCTGAGCCAGGGGGGCAGAAGCCAGACTGGGAGCACAAAGCGGGAAGGCAGGCAGGGAGGACGTGGCCCGTCGGGGGAGGGGGAACGAGTCCTCAGGGCCAGCTGTCAGCTGCTATGTGGGATCGCAGATTCTCTGTTCCCAGATCATCTCATTTTCTGAAAAAGTGCCCAAAATCTGGATCTTTATATGAAATCTCCCAACTCTACAATTTTGGCTCCAGTGATCTTTTAAAACAGTACGCCATCCCAACAAAATAGCTCTTGGGCCCACCATGATGTGAGAGAGGCCTCTATGCTACCTCCAGGGGCACGGCCACTCAGGTATGCTACCTCCAGGGGCACGGCCACTCAGGGAGGGGCCAGCCCAGGGGTCGGTTGTCTCTGTTGCTGGCACCAACCCCCAGTGCCTCCCAGACTCTAGAGCTCCTTTCTATTCTGGGCTAAGGTCCAAGAGGAACCTTGTAGGGATGTGCAGCTTCTCTGTCTGTGACCTTTGTCCCGTGGCGTAAGGAGAGCGAGACTGGAACTTTTCCAGGCTGCTCACAAAACCCCTTCCACTCCACCGGACGGTCAGTCACAACATTCCCTCCACACCCGGCCAGGAGCTTCATTCCTTCATGGGTGTCCTTCCTAGATACGAAGGCTGAAGATGGCAGGATGACACTAAAGACCAGTCGCTAACGAATTTGCAGATTTTTTTTAGTCTTCGGGAGTGGTAACAGTTTTGCAGGGATCCATCCACACTCTTCCACAGCCCGATTTAGACATAAGCAAGGTGGCTGGGGAGCTGTCTACCACCCCCCCACTTGCTGCTGTGGGAGAAGCGTTGGGCTCTGGCCCTCCTGGAGCCGACCCTGTGGGAAATCCAGCCTCCCCTCCTGACGGAAAATGTGCAGAGAGGTAACAAACATCTGTTAACAACCACTGGCTTCAGACTACTCTCTGTTAAATGCTTTGACACATAGTCTCTCACTGAATTTTCCCCACAGTCCACTCCATCGCACAGGTGAGAAAACTAGCTCACACAGGTTGAGGGTCTGCTTGAGTTCACGCGGGGAGATGGGCGATCAAAACCAACATTCATATCTTTTGACGCAATGCTTCCTTTCCAGGAATTTATGCCAAGGAAATAATCAGAGACGGACCCCCAAATGTATGTTTTAGAATGTTCACCACGTGTTCATCTTAAGAATCAAATACTAGAAACAATATCCAATCATAGGGGATTAGCCTCATAAGTTCCAAGTTTCTATATAGGACGATAATGGAGCCATACATAATCAATCCACAGTTTATCTCCCCTGGAAATATTCAACCTCTGAATTCCCTTTTCCCAGAAGACAGTTTCTGATGGCTCCACCAATAACTTGGTAAAAATGAAACAAAACAGGCTGTCTCCATGTCTATTCTACGTGAAGGGCCGCTGTCCCTAGCTCCCTACTCACCTGAGGAGGCACAACTAAGCACTGGGCTTGACCTTTGCCCCAAGTGCTTTTCTTTGGGCATTTCTGCATTGGGGAGAGTGTTTCCTTAGTCTCAACTGTAATGCCAAAAAACCCAAAAACTGTGCATGTGAAAACCGCAAGCACTCTTTCACCCAGCAAACACATGCCTGTGCCTGTCCTGTGCCAGGTGCACAGAAGACCCTGGAAAGACAAAGATGAATGAGACACAGCCTCAGCCTTCCTGGGGAACACAACTGAAGGACAGCCATCCCAGGGCTGGAAAGATGATTTAACTTTACTCCTCTCCACAGGCCCTTTTCGGACTGCCCTTGCCTCCAGCAGAGCAGAGGACATGGAACCCAGAGACCTGTGGTCTCGAGTCCTGGCTCCATGGTCACTTACTAGCTGTGGGACCCTGAGTTCCTGCCTGAGTTCCCATCTGTAAAAACGGGACCTCAAAGCCCACTCGTTCCACAAGGCTGTCAGAGAACTCAGAGGGATGAGGCATGAAAATATTTTCTCAATATCTGAAGCCCTGCATCCTCCTTAGTCCTTCATTACCTCTCTGCCCACAGTTCACTGGCTTAGCAAATAAGATGTAAGCCACACTGGTGCACTTGTTAATCTGCTGCCCTGCTCACAAAACACAGGTATTTAAAAAGAGATGGCTGGCTCAGTCAGAAGAACATTCGACTTTTGATCTTGGGGTCATGAGTTCGAGCCCCACTGGGGTGTAGAGATTACTTAAATAAATAAACTTAAAAAAAATTAAAAAGAGATGGAAGAGTGCCTGCTGGAAACAGGGTATGCGGACCTCACAGAACCTCAGTGGCAGCTGAAAGAAAATTCTTCTGGACAGGTACAACCTATCTGTGTTTTCAAAGTGTTAACATGCCAGCGGTCCCCTACCCCACAAAGGAAAGCGTGGTTTTGTTTTCCCAGCCCCAACATGACTAAAAGCCTGGATACTAACCCCCCTCCCCCAAGCCACACACATACCCATCCCTCACCTTGGGCAGGTCTGTGGCCCCACGTATCCGCTGAGCCACCTTCTCTCCATCGGGGTGGATCTTGGCCACGTGCTTCCACATCCTTTCCCAGGTGGCCTCGTCCACAGGCAGCCCACCCCGGTTGACAAAGAAGGGGATGCCTCCATCTCGCAGGTCCTCTTCCCCTTCCTCTTCTGGCTCATCATCTCTCTGGGCTGAGGCCCCTTCGCTGGTCTCCAGACGTCTGACCCCAGAGGGGGTGACAGAGGCAGTGGGGGCAGCGCCGCTGCTGCCACCCCCCGCCACTTTCTTCCCCCCGGGCATCCCCAAATCCTTGATGGGGGTGGGAGTATGTATCAGGAGGCAGGAAAAAAATAGGTGGCTCACAGGGGTTCTCCCACACACCAGCTGCAGAGATAACACATGGCCAAACAGAGCGTAAGGCGCCTTTAAGAAACCAGGGCGTGGCTCCTGTACAATAAAATACTACTCGATAAGAAAAAAAAAAAAAATCAGTGCCTCAACGTGAAGTAGGGGATAGAGAGGTGGTTGTCTGGGGTCAGCCTTAGAGGCTTTGTTCTTTTTGTGAAACAGAATAAAGAGAACACACCCCAAGTTGGCAGCCTTCACAAAGCTCCCCCATTTGACAGCGAGAACAATGACGGCAGCAGTCTGGGCTTGCAGAGAGAAAAGTCGGAGGGAAACTGAGGCCAAACAGCTCCGACCGGCGGCCACAGAGGGTCAAGGCACCGGTGCTCAGGCCGACCGGGCTCCCCAAGTCCCAGTTTTGGAGAGAACAGATTTCTCTGCAAAATATCGCACGCTCAAGGCAGCGTGCGCTCCGGGGGGTACCGAGGCGACTCCTGGCCGCATCAGCTCGGAGCCGGGACCCCCGAACCGGAGGGTGGCGAGGAGGCGCGCTTTCTTCGATGCGACGAGCGGGGAAGCCAAGACTCGCAGCTGGCGGGGCGCGGGGAGGGGGCGCGCGCCGACGCGCTCATTCCACGCCCGCGGCCAACTCCCCGCACAAAGTGGGCTTTGTCTCGGGCCCCCGTCCCCTCACCCCCGGGAAACAGCAGCGCAGCTCCCAGAGGGGGAAGGGCGCGGCGGGGAGCGCCAAGGCCCCGCGGGTCCCCAGCCGGGCGCGCCTCAGCGGGCGGACAGCGGGCACTCGGCGCCGCTCAGCCCCAGCCGAGCCATCGCGGGGCGCGGGTCCCGTTTCCGGGCCCGGGGTTCAGCTGGGCCGACTCGGGCGGCGCGCAGAGGCCAGGCTGAGGTCACCGAGCGGCGGGCTCCGGCCGCGCGGTCGCAGCCTCGGAGTGGCTGCGGCATGGGCGGTGGCGCGGCCGGCCTGGGCGAAGGATGCTCCGCGGCGGTCCGCTCGCGCTCCCGCTGCCCCGGCTGAGATGGGGCGGGGTGGAGGTGGGGGGGGATGGACCGCCGGACCGGGAGGGCTCGAGGCTCGCGCAGCCACAGCCCGCGGATGGAGCTGGAGGCGAGTGACAAAGCCTCGGCGAGCGCGGGCTACGCTAGTCCCCGGAGAGCAGCCCACCGAGCGCGGGGTCCAAGCGCAGGTCGCGGCTCGGCTGCGCCGCGAGGCTTGGGCCGCCGCCCCCGCCGCCCCCGCCGCCCCAGGGCCCAGCTGCCTCCCGCCGCGCGCGTCCCCTGCCCGCCCGCCGCCCACCGGGCTCGACTCCGGTCCGCGCCGCGCATGCGCTCCGTCCCCCCCTTAAAGGGCCAGCGCGTTCCCGCCAGGCCCTCCGCCTCCCGCCCCCCGCCCCGCGTCCCAAGTTATCTCCTGGAGGCAGGGGGTCGTCCGCTCAGCTCCCACCTCTTTCTCCCGGCGCCGCGAAGCCGGCGCGGAGCCGCGGAGGAAGTTCACAGCGTGCGGCGCAGAGCGCTAACTGCACGGAGGTTCCGGGCTCGGGAGGCCCGCGGTCGGGAATTTCCTAAAGGAAGCACCTCGCAGGGGCCCTCGGGGGGTCGGCGCGAGAGCTCGGGCTTGGAGGACCGGGTTCTAGACAGGAGTCAGAGTCTAATTTCCCGCGGGACATCCTCCAGATCGCTTCCCTCAGTGGGCCTCGGTTTCCCGATCTATCAGCCGAGCTCGTCGCACCCGGTGAGCGCAGAGTCCTCCTGGCGTGCGGGCGCCCTAAAGGAGGACATCTGGGGGTTAGGGTCCGACCTCTGGAAGAGAAAGGGTTAAAAGCCACCCAGTTCCACCCCGAGTGGAGACCAGTGGGAGGGGGATGCGATGCGCGGAGTTTGCCCCTAGTTGGCTTCCCTGGACCCTGGCGGTGGGCGTCCTCGCGCGGCGGGAAGAGGGGCTGCTGCGCCCCAGGGTTTGGGGACCGCGCGACTCGTGGGAGTGTGAGGCGACGGTCCTGCAAGATCCAGCCGGCTCAGAAGAAGGGGAAAATACGGCTTGCAGGACTGCAGAGACCCAAGGCTACTTTTACTTCCCTTCCACAGAGCAGTAACGGGGAATAGGCGCCAACAGGGAGCCGAGGGAAAGAACTTTCCAAAGGAGACAGATAGCCTTGGGTGGTTTAAGACTTGTGGTCTCCTTTCTCCCACCAGGAGTTAGTATGAATGTGGCGGCAGGGAGGTGGGGTGGTAGAGCAGATTTCTGGGCTCTGGGCTGCCTACCTGCAGGTGCTGATTGCTTAGGTCTGTAATTGCTGCGTTTCTCACCACCCCTCTCTGACAAGCTGAGGTTTCTACACCTGGGCTGGGGCAGCAGAGGCCTTGGAGAATCCGGAATTGCTCAGTGGTTCCTCCTCTGTTCCCTAAAGTTATCCCTCGTGTCTGAACTTCCTAGGTCCCCTGAGCTCCAGTAGCTACCTCTTGCTGCCTTTAGGATCGGAAACCAAGGGTGATGAGTGATGGGAAGGGTCATGGGACTTCAAGAAAGCTAGTTAAGAGGAGATCCTCTTAAGCTCACTGAGACTAGAAGACTCCGAGCATGAAAACCTCCAGGCACCTTCAACCTTAACCTACTCATTGCATGGATGGGGAATTTGAGTTTCAGAGAGCAAGTCCTTTAAGCTCACACAGCAAATAACTTGAACTGAAGCCTTACTTCTTCAGACACTTGCCTTTCCACCCTGCACTTGGTCTCTTGCCCTAGCTAAGTGGTTGTGGTAGTTTAAACATGTTGGCAAGCTCTTTTTTATTTTATTTTATTTTTTTTTTAGATTTTATTTAGGGACGCCTGGGTGGCCCAGTCGGTTAAGCCACTGCCTTCAGCTCAGGTCATGATCCCGGGGTGCTGGGATGGAGTCCTGTCCCTGGGCTCCTTTCTCGGTGGGGAGCCTGTTTCTCTCTCTGCCTCTGCCTGCAGCCGCACGCTGTGAAATGCTTGTGCTCTCCCCCCCCCCGACAAATAAATAAATAAATTAATTAAATCTTAAAAAAAAATTTAATTTATTTATTTGACAGATCACAAGTAGACAGACAGGCAGAGGGACGCGGGGAAGCAGGCTCCCGGCTGAGCAGCAAGCCCTATGCGGAGCTTGATCCCAGGACCCCAAGATCATGACCTGAGCCAAAGGCAGAGGCTTTAATCCACTGAGCCACCCAGGCACCTCTGTTTGCAAGCTCTTTACTGCTTCTCTTTCCTAAAGATGTTGGCTCATTACCCTCCCCTTGACTGTGGGCTTGACTTAGCTATTGGATTGTAATGAGCAGAACAAGGCGGAGGTGATGCTACATAGCTCTTAAGCCGAAGTCATGGAAAGGAGACAGTCTTTCTGTCTCTTCCTTTCCCAGGACAGCTGCCCTGGAGCCTAGCCACCATGCCGTGAGGAAGCCCAGGCCACATGGAGAGAGGACAGGAGGCTCTCCAGGAAGGTTCTCAGCTCCCAGCCAGCCTCACTCATCAGATAAGTGGTGAACTGGGGTTATTCCATCACCAGCCTTTGAGTTGTCTAGACGAGGTCGCAGACAAGGAGCAGAGATAAGCCCACCTTGCCGTGCCCTGTCTGAATTTCTCTCCCATGGAAAATGAGGGATAAGAAGCGATCGTTGTTATTTTAAGCCAGTAAGTTTTGGGGTATTTTGTTATGCAGCATTAGTTAATTAATTCTGTGAAATGACACTTCCTGAAATGACAAGGAGTCATTTCCAATGACTTGGAGTCCTTATTCGAACATTCAACAGGAAGTAGTTATTGGCACCTTTTTAGGTGCCTGGCTCTGTAGGAGGCCCTGGGGATTCGGTGTGAATAAGAGGAGTGTGAGCTTTGCCTTTGGAAAGGCTTACGGTCTCTACCACTGGAGGAGATGGTTAAACATGATTCTAGTAAAGCGCTTTGCCAGAGGCTTAGACCAGGAAGCTAGCGGAGGGCACACCTGGGGCAACTTGCCAGTTAAGTGGGTTGCTGGGGAAAGAAGAAATGAATTGGGTACAAGGCCAGCATGGTCTAGCCTGGAGAGTTTTCTGGGATATATTTGTAGAAGGAGGAGGAGACAGGTGTCAGGCAAGGTGGGAGGGGCATGCAAATAGATGAGAAAATGATGAAACTAGGGAGGGACGTGTCTTAATTTCATTTTAGCAGAAAGCTGAGAAAGGAAAGAGCTTGTGAACTGGGGCCCAGATCCTGGGTCCTGCAACAAAACCTCCCATGCTTCCCCATACCTGTATCTAGGAAACAACATCTCTGGTGACACTTGGGACACTCATTTGGCTCTAAGCTCTTATGACTAATATTTCTTTTGCTGCCTTTACAAAAACTCTCGAAGAAATTTGGATGAGTTAATTTCCATTTTGCAGATGCAGAAATGATGCTCAGGGAAGCTAGGCAGCTTAAGTACCCAGTTTAGGACCCGGCATGTCAGGGGTGCTGGGTACTGATGATGTAACTTGGATGATGATGAGGATGATGAAGATAATGATGCCTAGGTCACATCGTATCTCACTTATTATTGTCACACTGGGGAGTAATGTTCTGGAAACCAATACACAGTGTCTTAGGGAATCAACATTGGTATTAATCTGCTCCAACTCATTTTCTTGCAACCCTAAAGCTACAGTCAATTTCCTGGAAAGGAGAGTCTGGTTGACTGAGCTGAGGTTCTGGACCTACCCCTTGGCTGGAAGAGGGCAGGACAACTTCATGAACTGCCCCCGCAAAGACCACAGTAGTCGGAGCAGGGGACTGCCCTAAATGAAAACACAACCCTGTTAGTCAAAGAGGGGCACGGAGGGGCACAGCTAGAGGCATGTTTGTGAAAGGCAGACACTCTATGTCTGCGCTGTCCAGTAAGGTGGCCAGAAATGACACGTGGCTGTTTGATTCATATGACATAAAATTAAAAATCCAGTTAGTCACACTAACCACATTTCAAGTGCTCAGGAGCCACATGTGGCTTATAGCTACTGGATTGGACAGCACAGATTATAGAACATTTCCATCAATGCAGAAATTTCTACTGGGTAGCACTGCTCCAGGATTCTCATTTGCAATTCACCTGTTTCTTTTCTTCTTTTACTTCATACATTGTGAATAGGGAAATAGTAAAACAAAACAAAACAAAAAACGTGGGTCAGAATCTTCATTAATTTATTCATCAAACATATACTAAGGGTCTTCTTTGAATCATACACTGTTGTAAGCACCAGGATGCCGAGAGGGGCTTTGGAGAGGTCCTGGTCCAGTGGATCTCATGTTAGAATCATCAGAGAGCTCTTAGAAGTACTGATATCCAGGCTTTAGCCAGCAGAGACCCTGCTGAAAGTGGTTTGGGATGGGGCTGGCAGACCCTCAGGGTGGAAAAGCTCCCTAGGTGATGTGAATGTGTTGCTGGGCTGGGGAACCATGACTGTCTGGTCAGGCTAGGGAAGTGATTTGCCTCAGACAATCTGAAAACCTGAGAGAGAGAGAGAGAGAGAGAGTGTGTGTGTGTGTGCGCGCGCGCGTGTGTGTGTGTGTCTGACCTCTGGGTCCTTATGACAACATCAGAACTCTCCATGGATGTGGCATTTATCTGATCAAATGCAAAATTCTTAGGGAAAAACAAGCCAACTCTTCCTTAACTCAAAGAGAATCCAGTTCCCTTTAAATAAAGTGCTGAAGGGACTTCTGGTTTTAAATCACTTCTTTCTCAAACTGTTTGCATGTTTGGTGCCTGGACCTGCCTTATCAGCAAGGTGGGAAAATCCTTATAAAAAGACGTCATGTTCTGAGTACCTCGTGTAAAACATGCCCTTCATACTCAGTTTCATTTCATCCTCAGGACAAAGTATTACAAAGTGAGTTTCGCAGACACCAGTTTATAGAGAAGCAAATTAAGATGCGAAGAGGATAAGGATCATAATTTGTCCAAGCTGGTACAGCGGGGATCCCAACTCCAGATTTCTTACTCTTTCCCCTTCGCCACCCAGCACCTACCCCGTAGCCAAGAGTGCAGGGCAGCCCGCAGACAGAGGCATTGTGCTCCATCCGCGGAAGGAAGAAAGCTCTGTGGAGGTGACCTGCAGCCCTTCGTGTGTCAGGGATCACCCTGGAGCTGATGTGACCCAAGCACTGTGTTCGGTGAGAGAACCGGAGGGGACTGGGAGTGGAGTTCTCCTTTCAAGTAATGGTCGCGTCTGGATTCCTTTTACCAAGGGATTTGGAGGAAGCAGCTAAGAACAGTGTTGTACCTGGAACAGTGAGCTCTTAGACACCTGGCAATTATGATATATGCTTGGTGGAAGCATTGTCTGTTCCTAGCCTGGATCCCCGTGGGCTTGCAGAATGTCTGTGTCACCATGTATCTTTGTAATCTGAGTCCCTGCCTGATACTTCCTGGGCTGCCTGGCCTAGCCTCAGGGGGGTGCTGGGAAGGGACAGGACTCATTGTGTCCATTCCAAATGACTTGAACAGTGGAGGAGATATGTCTCCCCTGCCATTCTCTGCGGGCCACCTTATATAGTAATAGGAGCTCTAGGCCTTGGAGAACAGGAAGGGCTGCCCTTGGAATGCCTCAGGGCTTGTCTGTGTGGCATTCAGCAGGTCTCTGTGGGAGCCAAGCTACGACTGGCCATAGAAAGAGCATAGAATATCACAGCCAAAAAGACTCTTAGAGATCTTTCTGGGTTTCATTTACAGATGGGAAACTGAGGTGCAGTGAGCT